CTACTAGGAGCAAGGGCATCGCTACTAGGGGCTCCTGGCATCGCTACTAGGAGCATTCTTACTACTAGGAACAAGGACGCTACGATTTTTCTCCGCTTTACCGGACTCACAACCAGGCTGACCAAACACTCGGCGTCGCGTCCGCTCTGACTTCTCGGCGTCGCACGTGCGCGCTGTGGGGACCGAAGTACTCCAAAGCATCGTTCCGCGCGGTGATGCGGTAGATGTACATTTGTCCAGGACTGGCCGTCGAAGAAAGGAGGCCATCGCGATTGCAACCGGTTGGAGTTGGAGGCCATTGCGGTCATTCTCTGAAATGAGATGTAAAACACCATATTGCACCCTAAATGCAACACGATTCTCCGCTTGGTGCACCCGAGAGCCCTCTTCGCACCTCAAAGAGCCGCTGTCCGTGAACGTTTGGATGGGCGTCGTCCTCGGCGCAGGACGGCCGCGTCTGCCGGAAGTGGGGCTGATCCTCCAACGAAAACGCCAATTGCCAGGAACGCTTCGGACGACCGATTGGCTTGTTTGCGCATCAAACTCCCTACAAACCTCAACTGCACCCAGTGACCCTTGACTTTGGTCCTTTGGCGTAGAATTCACTCACTCGCCGACACACTAAGTCTCGGACACATTCGCAATGGCTTCGAAGCCTTGCCCTGAATCACGTTCAATGCGATAATACCTTGGATGGGGATGGAGAAAAACCATCAAAAAAGGACTTGTCACAGTAGTAGCGTCCGATCGTTCCTAGTAGTAAGGCCAGGAGCCCCGAACGTAGCTTCTTGCTCCTAGTAGCGATGCCAGGAGCCCCTAGTAGCGTCCTTGTTCCTAGTAGCACAAGAATGAGAGGCATTGCACTTCAAAAGAATGCTTATCAAGGAGAAGAGCTCTGAAGCAGCCCAAAGATCTTTGCAATCTTCCGTTCGCCCGTCGAAGGAGAGCAGTCGACTCAGCCTCTCGCTCCAACTCTGTGCATCCGGTGCTTTCCGGGATGTCCCAAGCCTGGTGCTTTCTGGCAGCTTCTTGTTGCAAGAATGCTCAGGAGCCCCGTTCGTAGCGTCCGAGCGCTCCTAGTACGTAGTATGTCTGGGTGTTGAATTGTGAACCATATCGCCACCTATTTATATATATAAATATATACTTGTAATGCCTTGGTGATTTGGTGCTATGTATGGCTTCTCTTGAAAATCTTGAAGCAAGCTGGCAGCACAAAAGGTCGCAAAAACCCTGCGATCAAAGCCCAACCGCAACGTACGTCGTGATATTGAAAAACATGCCATAACTACTGCTTTCTACTAATTACAAGCGAGGTGGAGGCCATCCCTAGTAGGTTGGAGGCCATCGCTACTAGGATGGAGGCCATTGGGCTAGTCGTCGTCTCAGGTGAATGCAAAAAAAGGAAGGCCGGCAGGCAAGCAGACAAGAAAGCAAAGGACTTAATGAAGGTCTAAAGAAACGAATAATAAAACAGGAATATAACCCAGACACTCCATGTATGCCATATATGCCTACATTGGGGTGGTTTGAGGGGTCAATGTAGGCATATATGGCATACATGTGGAGTGTCTGGGTTATATGATGTCTTCGAACGGGTCTCCGAACGTTACTCCTTCCTAACAGGAACACACGATCGGCCGCGGCGGAAACACCCCGGGCTCCCGCCAGTGTGATGGAGCCCGTGCTGCTCGCAACCACCCGGGCGGAGCGAGGCCTAGGGGACGGACAAGGAGGCGTTTCGGAAGAACATGGCAGCGATGGCCTCCAACCTAACAGTGGAAGAACCAGCCTCTTACCGAATCGAGAAATCTATACAGCAATGCTGCATTTGGAGCATCTGGAGCCACTAACCTCTACCTGCGTCTCCTGTTCGTACCCATGCCGAGCGGAATTGTGAGCAAGTCAAAGAAATCGACGGAGGAAGTGAATCGACCAAGAGGGAGAAAAACGCGAAATCAGTGGCACCATGTGGATCCACGAAATCCTTGACATGTGACTTCCTTTTCAATGTGTTTGTGCTGGAGGCCATCACTATTAGGTTCCTTTGGCTATTGACTGTGTCTTTTTTAAATGTGTTGCAAACAGTCACTTGGACACCTTAGGCGATTTGCTTGCCAACTATCGACGTCTTCGATGTCCTCGTGCTTAAGGCCGCTGGACCTTTCCTTTTCTATATCTGACCTTTTTCCTTTTTGCCCCTTTGTCTTTATATGTGTTTTTTTTAACGTTGCTTTCTCCTCTGACATTTAGACTTTCTTTTGTATCCGTTTGTTGCGTTCTTTTTCTCCAGGCCTTAAGTTATTAAGGCCTGTCGTGTCTTCGTCTGTCTATTTCTGAAAGGTTTCCCTTCTATGTATCCTCCCTTTTCCACAGGGAGCTAATTATCTCCAGATTGTGCCAGTTCCCCCTTTTAAACAAAGAGCCTGCTTCCTTTAATAAGCTGATTCGAACCGAGAAGAACAGTAGAAGCTGAGTCGACTAATAACAGGAAAGTGTGAAGAAGATGTCCAAACTATGTCTGTAAAGGATCCTTGAAGACTGAGGAGACCCTCACTGAAAACAATGTGCTGTCAAAAAAGTAGAACCCAGAGAGGCGTGTACATGAACACAGAAGTTGAGATGCTCTCCGACGAGAAGAAACTTGCGTTCGAGGCCCTCGCTAGTAGGTTGGAGGCCATCGCACCCCTTTTTTT